TCACTCAAATGCAGAACATAAATAGAGTTTTATGAGTCAATGATATATAAAAATAATTTCTCCGATCAATTTGACTCGGACCCTTATATACATATAATCTTCTTCCTTTCTGTTTTAAATATTGCACACACAACAAACCTCATCTTCCAAGACCACAAGCTTCCACTGCAGTAAAACAAAAGCTCGTGTTTAACAAAACTATCCAATAGATTTCGAAATTTTCTTCAATAGGTTTTGTTTTCCAACATGAGAAGTTGAAGTTTATACCTTTAGAGAGCCATATCAGCCTGTAATGCAGCGAGTTCATCATCATGAGCGGTCTTCTGAGGTGCGGGACGGACAGGTTGCTTTGGCTCAGGAGCGTTTGGAACGGGTCTTATTGGCTGAAGAAGTTGCTCTTCTAGCTCCTCGCTTTCTAGTTCTTCAAGTTCCGCTTCCAATTCATCCTGTAATTTACCAATAAACACAATCTTTAGAAAGCTGAAAAACAATTTCGTGCGTCTTTTTATAAAGAGTATATGATTTGCGGGGATAAAGGAAAGTTTACCTCATCGAAATCAGCACCAAATCCAACTGGGTTAGACAATGCTTCTTGGATCTGTTTCATGTTCTCGGTTTGCTCGTTGATCTCATCCATTGTCTTGTCCACATCATCAATGTTACTGCAAAAAAAATGTGTGTTTATGACCTGATATACCTTATATAGCTCGATAGTTAATAGGTTAGGTAGATAAACACATACGTTGCCTTCTGCATATTTTTCATTGCAGCAGCACCAGTCCTCAAAGCATCTACAGTCTCTGTTGTTGCTTTGGCACCTTCTAACATAATCATCTGTTTTACACAAGAGCGACATATTCAATTTATCGATTTTAGTAGCAAAAATTTCGTAAAATGCTTCTCAATAGAAACAAAGGCTCACTTGATCATGAATACGGAGCTGGAAATTCCCAAGCTGTTCAACTTGTTGCTCGTATAACTTCTTCCTTTTCAAACACTGTATAGCCGCTGCACGATAACAAAAAATGCGTTAAATAACCTATCTAATGACAACACAAACACATTCTTGGAATATATGTATATTCATTCACACATGTCTAAACCAAAAATTTGGTTAATCACAAACAAGAATGGGTCGTACCGCGTTTGTTCTTGGCCCGGGTGAATTCCTTTGCTCTCTCAACCTCTCCAGCAGCTTTCTTCAAAAGAACACCTTCCTTCTTCTCTAGCATCTCAAGGGTCTGAGGAAGAACAACAATGATACAATCAAGTAATTACCAGAAGAAGCATTGAAAGAAATAACAATAAACCAATATCGAATCTTTTTCTCACACACGAGAATAACAAAGTAAGACAATACAATTCAACAACCAAAAAAAGAGTAAGCTTTGTCTCAAGTCTACATTGAAGATCGACCCATTGAATAGTTATCTCAATCTACTATCTTCTTAAAAATCCAATATTGAATCTTTTTGTCACAGAAGAGAGTGCCAAATTTAATATAACAATGCAGTCACAATTCCAATTACAACGACAAAAAGTAAGCTTTTATCTCGAGTTTAACATTGAAGTAAGATTGCTTCAAAACAGAGATATGAAGCAACAATCCTTGACCCATTTACAAAGATATATCTCAAATCTCTTATAATCCTCAAAAAATCCCCAATTTTGAGATAAAGATGAAATTGTGAAATCGAAGAACACAAGATGAAGAAAGAGAGAAATTTGGTGAGAATACCTCATTGAGCTTGTCTAATGTTTGGAGAGTATTAGTCTCCTGCTTTGGTTTCCCGAATAGCCGATTCATAAACATGGTCACCACACTGAGATCTCTCCTCTACACAAAATCAATCAAAAATCACTAAACTTTCGCGAATCGATTCCGTAATTATTCAAACCCTAATCATGAATCGATCAAATCGAGCGAAATTAGGGTTTCTATAACTGGGTACAAAATTTCGATCCCCAATCTACAACTTTTTCGAATTAACAATCTGTGGAATCGATTCGTAGAGACAAACCTGAGGAATTTGATTGATTTG